TCTTTTTAGAAAATATTCAAAACAAACAATGTAAATGAGAGACAAATGAGTCACAGATAACAACCTAAGTTGCTAGTGTCACAGAACTTTTTAAAAGCATACAAATAATCCTGGTATGCCATTTAAGATTAGTTTTAGAAGATCTATAACAGCAAAACATTTTATGTACATTTGATAAATCTAACACTGCAAAGACAAATTAATATACAACATTTCTTGACATTTAAAAATCTCTCAGGAGTACGAAGAAAAATTTGGAGATAAAACCAAAATTAGTCATCACTTAAAAATTCATAACTGAAAGAACTTCCTGTAATGTCTTTGTTTAGCCTAACAGTAATTACTCCAAAAGGAAGCCTTCCAAGAGGGAAATTAAAGTAGACCGATAACATTTTTCCTTTCTGTTGGACAGAAGTGTCATAAGCCAGGCTAAAACGGGATATTGTCTTTTTTCTTCTTTATGTCTTATTTTAATATTCTACCCAATTCTGTTAGTTATTTTGCTTCCTTTTGTTAGCCATCCTGAACCTTTGTTGGGGACAGTGGCATATAAATCTAAAAATTAAACAGATTATGACATTTCCAAACTAAGCCATGCTTCTAAGGTTGTTGCTCAGAACTTTGTCAAGCAATGGCTAAGTGAAATTAGGAGGAGTAGTTCATTTCTGTTCTGATACTCAGCAATGTGGTACAGTGGTAAAAATGGCAAGAAATATGCCAGTAGCAGGTAGTGCTGCAGAAAACTAGTGAAAGCAGAAGACGGGGTAAGAGTTAGCCAGTGTGATCGAAAAACGGAGAGCTAAAACAACAGCTTTCCCTATAACTTTCCTATGACTTCCTGCAGCAGTCAGAGGCATCAAGCATCCAGGGAAAAAGAGCTTTCCGTTTCCTCCTCCTACCCATTGCAAGAGAAGGAAAAATCTATAAAGTCTGATACAACAGTTGGAAAACCAAAGCAGGGTCAACAAATAGCACCTACCATGTTTCTCAAGGCCAGATAATTTGAATAAAAAACCCCCAAACCTTCAGGTATTGAATGACCACAATACAGAGATATGGCCAAGATGACAAACGCTGCAAAAGAGGCAGTTAATTCCATCTAAGTATGGATTTAGAGCTATAGAGTAATTAAGTGTAAACTGAAACCTAAAATTAGGGTATGAAACTTACTGTTGCAATATAAACAGCAAGGGCTTGGCAATCCATAATGACAATAAAAGAAAAAGAGCCAGGCATTTAGAAAAACACAGACTGCGGGGTTAGTGTTTCACACTAAAAAAAACAAAAAAACCCTAAACACACCAAAAGTTCTGAAATAGATACAATATCTTAATGCTTCAAGGGATAAAGCCAAACTCTAATGGACAGAGGTTAAGAAACTTTCCTCATGGCAGGCTATTCCAAAACTGCTTTCTGTGTAATTTCACCAACCACAGAAAGATGCATTTGAAAGATAGCAGAAAAAAAAAATTGTTACAATTTTTAGTTGGTCTAACAAAAGGTATCATCTCTGAACCAAGAGCTCTAGAGTTTTGCATTTCTTTTTGATACTGACTAACACTACAGGATACTGGATCAGAAGGACCACTAGATATACATGACAAAAATCTTATTAAACGTATTTTCAATCATTAAAATACCAAAAATCAATTTTTACTTTATCCAGCAATGATTACAGTTTAATTTGCTGATTCAGATCTTTTAAAACAAACAAACAAACGGCTGACAAAAGTTAAATAGCACTTCACATGAAGTTGTGTAGCATAAGAGCAATTGCAGCTTCCAAGATTTAACGTCAGATGAACAAGTTCTCTTCTTCCCACCCCATCTGCAAACACGTACTTCAGAAAGTCTCATTTGTATACCAAACCTATATTCTGCTCATAGAAAAATACCATATTACATTATTTCTACCCCCCTGCTTTCTAGGAGTCTTGAGGCGCTCACGAGAACTGTATTGTGATACACTGCATAAACAAAACAAAAAGACTGCCCAACACAATTTTATGTTTAAACCCTATTTATAGCTTTTACCCACTCCAGAATACATAACAAAAATGCTCTACCCTGTAAATGTAGCTATCCCCAAGGCAAAAGGCTGCAAAGCAACATGGTATATCACCCTAAAACAGGAAGGGAATATTTCTGTAATAAAAACATTCATTTGGATTTTAAACAGTTGGCAAGCAACTTCTGGTTTGAAAACAAATTAACATTGTTTTTTAAAAAGAATAATATGCTTTTATTAGTAACCCAATATTGCTGAATGCTCTGGTACAACAGAAGATTCAGGACCATCAACAATTGTCCAAAGGGGAAAAATAAAACATACTTCAGACCATTGCAAACATATCCTAAGGGTTCTTTGTTTTTGTTTTTTTAAACAAGGGAAAGGCTAGGGTACTGCTAGGTTAGATTTTAAAAGGTCAAATAGTTGCCAACATTTGAACCTGAACAAAAATAGCTGGCAGGGACAAGAGAGAAATTAGACATTAGGTCATTTACTCTATCCTCGTGCCAACTCTGCATTGTTCTCTACAGCACATTTTCAAATACTTGGGGAAACTGGGGAGATAGTTGGGGAGAAGGTGCAGTATGTGAAGACAGAGAGATGGCTGTAGGAGGATGAAGTAAATAAAGAGACAGCACAGAGTTAGGGTAGATCAACATCCCAAAAGCTCTGTTAGATGGGATTACACGAAGAAGCTGGTGTCTGAAAACATGCAACGCAGCAGATAATAGGTGTAGACTAGAAAAATCTCAAAAAGGTATACAGTCTGACAAGAAACATTTCAATGCAGAAAGCACTAACTGGACTGATAGTTTGATCCTCTGCAGTCACTAAGTCAGGTCCTTCATTTTACACCTGACATTATTAAAAGCACCATTTATAACAGTTGCCCAAAACTGCTTCCTTCAAACTCCTTCCTTGTGGAAGAGAAACTTGTAGTGAAGGAAACCCATTAATCCCAGCTGGAATGACAACACCTTAAACAATTTCTCTCCCTCCTTGAAACAGACATTTTTAAAATGTGCAGTTAGATGGTGTTTAAAGGAGGAAATGTTAAATAAATGTTATACATGCAAAAAAAAAGTGAAAAGAACATTAAAGTTTCAAGAACAAGCACTCAAAAGATAGGAAATTTCCTGCACATCTAACTCAACCAGTGTCTGCTGAAGTACTATGACTATCTTAATTGTACAGTTCCATCCCATTTTTCCACAGGAAACCAACCTCATTAAGGACACGGGATAGACATGACCTAGGGACATATCAGGGTGGTTTGTGACAAAGGAAGTGTTCAGCCACAGCCTCATTTTTTTGCGGAAGAGAGATGGGGTTGCAAGGGCATACAAATTAATTTTATAGCAAGGGGAGTTGAAATATGTACCGGATAACTGAATTTGAGTCCTGCCTCCAACATAGAGCTCCCGTGTGCGCTGAGCTAGACACTAAACCCAAACTTTAAGGCTGGTTGTTAATCGTCTGGCCCTTTTCTTATTGTGTGCCTCACTTCAGACCTTGGGCCCTCATTTGCAAAGTGCTGAACATTACTGCATGAGGCAGTGTCCTGTTGAAGCACACCATGCTGTTCTGTGCACACAACCTCTGAACCTGGAAGTAACATATCCACCTTTGCTCGGTGCTGACTCAGATCCCTGCTACATGTTATGTCTATTATACAATTAACTGGTCAGTTTGCAATAGATGAAAACAGGCCACACCTGCAAAATAAGGCGTCACAAGCATAAATTAATTATCACAGTATTAACTGGTGAATTTAGACCAGTCACACATACAAAGTAATTACCACATGATAAAAATGACTTACCCAGCTATAGAGAGCCAACAAGCTATAAAGATAGTGCTTGAAGAAGTGTAACAACTCTATAGCTTGTTTCTATCCACCTTTAATCTGAAGGTGTAGCAGGGCCCTCAGTTCAGTGAATCAGACACACATCGTATCAAGGTGTTGCTAGTTCACATTCCTATTCTGTCCTCCAGGCAGGTTATTTGCCCAGCACTCCTTCATTTGTTCCTATCCCACTAGTCCTGACACCTCTGCAATCGAATCAATTTCTCCTTCATGCCCAATAGACTAAAAACACACAACCAGTAGGGCAAACAACACTCTGGCATGCATCAATTGATGCATCTCATGTAAAACCAAGGAAGTGATTCTTCCACTGTACTCAGCACTAGTGAGACCACAGGTGGATACTGCATCCAGTTCTGGGCACTGCACTTCAGTAAGGATGTGAAAAAACTTGAGAGGGTCCAGAGAAGAACCACCCATATGATCAGGGACTTTCAAGGCAGACCATACAAGAAGAGACTGAGCAACTTGGGCCTCTTCAGCCTAAAGAAGAGAAGGCTGAGAGGAGACTTGGTAGCAGCTTACTGCTACATCAGGGTAGTACATCAAGAGTCCAGTGAACACCTGTTCACTAGGGCACCCTTGGGGAAAACCAGGAGCAATGGATACAAACTCCTGGAAGGCCACTTCAGGCTGAATTCTAGGAAAAACTCCTTTACATTCAGGTGTCCAGACTGTGGAATAAACTCCCTCCAGAGGTGGTGAAATCACCTACCCTAGAAATCTTCAAGAGAGGACTGGATGGTCACCTTGCTGGTGTCACCTGACCCCAGTTGTCTTTCCTGCCTAGTACAGGGGGGCTGAACCCAATGATTTTGTGAGGCCCCTTCCAATCTATATGAATCTATACAAAAACAGTTTAACATGGCGCTGACTGGGTACCACTGGCCTCAAACAGATGCAGGATTACACATGAGGCATAAGCCTTTCTTACACATTAATTTTAGGCAGCTCAGGGAGCTCTCAACCCCTCGACTGCCTATACATTAAAATGTGTAAACTAGTTTTAAGCACCCTTTTGGCATCTTAAAAGTTACACCACTCCAGGGCAGATTTGTCTCTGACCCACGTTACCCATCTTGTGTTCCACAAACAAGTGGCCACTCCCTAGAGATAAGTCACCTGAGTTTCAGTCCTCCAGCATCTCAGGATGGAGCATCTTCCCCCTCCTGTTCTGTAAGGAAAACTCACAGCTGTAGATTCTAGTCCAGCAGCCCTCTAATAGCAAGTCACAGCTGTACAGGTCAGGGACAGCCAGAGGGTTTTAGCCTGAATGTGTGTGGTGACTAGTCTAAACTAACATTAACACCAACTGACATTTGAGAAGCTTTAAGTGCAATGTGTAACAAGCCCCTTAAATACCCATTTGCACCCAGCAGGCGGAACTATTCCAAGAGAAAGTGTTAATTCAGGTATTTCACTTGATACAATGTGGGGACAAAAGGTTTGTCCATCTGTAAGTACACTGCTACATCTTCAAATTAAAGCTGGGTAGAAAACCAGCTATAGAGATGTGACACCTTTTCAAAAACTAACTTTATAGCAGGTTGGCTTTTTCTATAGCTGGATAGTCATTTTTATGGGGTGATAACTACTTTGCCCGTGAGGCCGCTGTAAATTCAATGCATGATCCACCAGTGACTTGTACAATAACTCCTTTGCACATGTGGCCACTCTGAATTCACTGTGTGATTCACCAGTGCATTGCGCGATAATTCCTTTGCATGCACAGCTGCCCTGAATTCAGTGTGCGATTCACCAGTGAATGGTGTGGTAACTATTTTGCATAGGTGGCTGGTGTGAATTCACTGCACAAATCACCAGCGAATTGTGCGATAACTCCTTTGCACACATGGCCGCTCTGAATTCATTGCACGCTGCAGCAGCCACGTGTGTGATAGCTACTTTAAACACATGGCGCAATACACTAGTCAACGGCGCAATACATGTAACATGTAGCAGGGCTGGGTGGGGATGAAACGCTTCAATATGAACTGAGCCACATTCCAGTCACTCTGGCTGTCTCAAAAAAAAAAAAAAGAAAAAAAATACCCAGGAGACTCCGAGCCTCAGTTCAAACACCTGGCCCTGCACCAGGGGACAGTCTGTCTAGACCTGTGCAGCCACGGGTGAAGAATCCTGCATTAGTGTTGCCCCTGAAGTGTTAAAAGTCCTGTACAGGCAGGGGAAGTGAGGAGGACAGTGAAGCCTGCCCAGTGGAGGAAACATTAACTAACTGGGTTTTTGGTTGTCACCGTGTTGGTCTAGGGACATAGCACATTACTTAAAGAACCTTTCCTGCCTATCTTTTATTAGACCAACCTAGTCTTCGGGAAAAAAAGTTCTTAGCAAGCTTTCGGGCGCAGTTACACTTCTTCTTTCACACCTTGGAGTCTCAGAGCAGCAGAGACTCCCTATGTAGGGCTGCCAACTCTGTCTGAATCTATTCCGGGAGGTTTCTGGAATGCCAAAAGGCCCGCAACACAACGTGAACGCGCCCACGTGCTTACTTACATCAGTTATGGATTACAGCGCGTAGACTTTACATCAGTAAGGCAAATGCCCATTACTGTTACATTTTAAAAACCCGATGGACTACTGTATCAATCAGATTCAACAATTAATACTTACTTGAATGAATTCCCTATTGTTTATCTCTCCCGTGACTCTCAGCAGTCTCCGGGGGATTTAACTCTATATCCTGGAGACTGCGGGCCAATCCTGGAGGGCTGGCAACCCTATGCCTATGTCTGAAGGAGGGTGACTGCATCCAAAAGCTTGCCAAGAACTTTTTTTCAACTGTTCCGCTGGTTTAATAAAAGATACCACGTCTACCCAAAGAAGCGTGCCTGCCTATTAACAAGATGCCTGTTTCACGGAGAAATTGTTTAGGGTGTTGTGCTTCCACTTGGGTTCCTGGGTTTCGTCCTGGGCTAGACCCCAGGCGGCTCCTACCCGCCCGGGACCGGGACAGACGCTCCCGGGACTGCTCCTACCAGCACGGCCGCCGCTGCTGCAGCCGTTGCCCCGGCCGGTCCCGTCCTAGCCCCGGAGCCCGCGGGGCGCAGTGCGCATGCGCCGCCGCCACCTCCCTCTGCCAGGCCGCGCCCTGTGCAGCCCGCCCTTGCGGGCCCAGCGGGAACAGTAGGGCGGGCAGGGAGCAGAGTTGTAGATCGGGCAGGGAGCCCCCCCGCACAAAGCTGAGGAGCAGGATCCAGCCTGGGCACAGGGCCGGGAGCACGGGGCAGGAAGCAGAAATCAGTGTCAGAGCAGAGCGGGGGCCGCGGGGCAGAAAGCAGAGCAGCAGATCGGGCAGTGAGCATGGGGCAGGAAGCGGAGATCAGAGTGGCAGAGGAGGTAGAGAGACTGAGCAGAAAACAGCAGTAGATCGGGCAGGGAGCACTGGGGGGGAAGGAGCAAAAAGCAGAACAGTAGATCAGGCAAGAAGCACTGGACAGAAAGCTGAGGGTCAGATGCAGCAAGGAGCATGGGGCACCAAGCAGAGCCCCAGATTCGGCAGGAAGCAGAAATCAGAGTGGCAGATCAGGTAGGGAGCCTGGGGGACAGAAAGAGCAGCAGATTGGGCTGGGAGGGAAGAGCAGAAAGCAGAGCAGCAGATCCAGCATAGAGCATGGGGCAGGGAGCAGATGAGACTGGGAGCATGGAGCAGAAAGCAGAGCAGCTGATCGGACCAGGAGCAAAGCAGCAGATCAGGCAAGGAGCACAAGGCAGGAAGCAGAACAAGCAGCATATCAGGCAGGGAGCAGGAAGCAGAACAGTAGATCAGGTAGAAAGAACAGAGAAGGGAGCAGAGATGCAGACCAGGCAAGAAGCTGATGGCAGGAAGCTGAAAAAAGCAGCAAATCAGGCAGGGAGCGTGGGTTAGAAAGCAGAGAGGCAGATCGGGTAGAGAGCCCCTGCAGGAAGCAGAAAGCAGAGCAGGGGGTGAGCACTGGGGATGGTTCTTCTTCTCCTGTCTTGTCGATGACAGGTATTTAGCAAAATTTGCAGATTCGTTAGAATCTGACAGGGCCGCAACATGAATACTTCTGCTATGGCCACTGAGGGAGGGTGTGGGGATGATTTATGGCATGCCTGCCAAAAAAGGTTGACCCTGCTGTAGTAAGCAATGATGGCTTAGGTGTCAGGGGCAAACTGCTATAGCTCTTGGTTTTGTTTCCATTTTTTTGTATCTTTTGAGGCTTTTTTGTTTCCTAAAAATGTACAGTATATAGCATTTCATATTTCTGCTCTGCTGGATATGCTTCTTGGGATTCAACTTGAAAACCACATCCTCTCTTAAAATTCCACATGGGAACTAAACACCTTTTTGTGTTAAGAAAAAGATTTGCCATCTAAACTTGGATGCAACTATAATTTTTAGTTCTTAAACACACATGCTTAAGCATTATTAGTATCTGCATGTCTGATGCTATAATTTTAAGTGTTTGCATGGAAAGCGAACAGAAGGACTGTTCAGAAAATTGGTAGTGGATACAAGCCCCTTACCTCCTGATAGCTTGATCAAATACATTGATGTCTGTTGTTCAGTGGTTTATATGAAATGACTGGGGGTTTAGGTCCATTTTGCAGTAGATACATTTAGCAAAAAATAAGACCTCAGCCAGAAGAAAGATTGAGGCCTGAATAGTTCAAAGGTGCATTGTATCAAAAGATTAGATTGCTGTTGCACAGCAGCAGTGTAGGTTCAGCTGGACTGCTATTTCAGTTTCTCTGGTTGTCTATCAATAGAGTATAGGAGCTCTCAGCCTTTTTTAGACCCAAGGCACTGCTCATCAGACCCAAGGCACTGCTCAGAAAATGCCAGCTCTTAGGTTTCAGTCATTTCTTGACTACAGAAAAATAATAGAGCATTCTTTTGTTGCAAAGAATTCAGAGCACAACAGGTCAGATTGCTTTTGACACTATGAATTTCTAGTTGAAAGCTCTGGGTTTGTATTGCAAATAAGCCTGGGCTGATTTTGTGCACACCTAGCAATGCTAATATTGCATGATACTTCACGGTGGTAACCTAACTTGGGGAGGGTGGGTGACCAGGATGCCAGCCTCAGATGCTGGTTTAGAGCAGGCACTGGAATGCCAGCCCCCACTGAGGCAGCATCAGACTGTGCCACTGTAGCCCCTATGTGAGGACTTACTGTGCTCCTCCCCTGGTCCCACCTTGTACTTCCCAGAGCACCAGAATTTCAGGTTATGTTTCTGCCCCAGGGTACCCTTACAAGGATCTTGTAGGGTGCTGTGGTATCTTGGTTGAGAATCACTTATCTAGTGCTTCTTACCTTTATTATTTTAATTAAACAAATGGCTCTCAATCAGCAGAAAAGAAGAATATGCTAATGAAGCACGTACATTTACAGCACAGACAGAATACATTCCAAACTAGCTATTATACAAACAAATCTCCCTTTCTTGATTGAAACTAGATTTAGAATTATAAACCAGATATTTTAAAATACGTGTCACCACCAATAAATGTGACTACCACCATGCTTTCATATATTTATTAAGAGAAGATAAGAAAAATTATTAAAAAATAAATAAAATTAATTATAGTTATATTGGAGAGGAAAAAAAAATGCTACTGCCTCTTATATTGATTATATTTTTTATAACTTTGTGCCAATGAGTCTTTGGTTCTTAAAACTACTGAAAGAATGCATTTCTTTTGCTATTTCTCATACTTTGTCATTTATCAGAAAGACTATAGTCATACTATAAAACTTCTGAAAATGTTTAACCTATAAGAGCACTAAATGTTCAAGTTTTTTTTTTTTAATTCCAGCACATCTTTATTTCCCTGAAGTGGAATGGATACATAATTGTAAATGTTGACATGAAACTATGCTTAATATTTCTCCTTTTATTGAAAATACTAGTGAATACTTAGAAGATGTAATGATAAATTGGCAGAATAGGTAGATAATTAGTAATATAAAATTCATAGGTATAAGATAAATCTATCCAACGCAGCAAAGAGCTGTTTTTTCGCGGTTATGTGTACCTGAACAAGAAAGCTGTCCTCAGTGGGATAAAGAGGGTAACAGAAAATTTTGAACAATCAAATCCATGTGAAACTAGCAGTCGCATTTTGAATTACGGCACTAAAAATCTTTCATGCAGCACAAATGACTATA